AGTAAAACTCACAAATTTTAGAACCAAGGAAACCATTTTAAGGGCATTAGGGGGAAGAGATTCCTTACATACAGAGGAAGGAACATCAGAATAACATCAGACTTGTTCACAGAGACCTGGCAAGCCAGAAAGGGCTTGCAAAACATATTCAGGGTACTAAATAAGAAGAACATGCAGCCAAGAATTCTTTATCTGGCAAGGCTGTCATTCAGAATAGTTGGAGAGGTAAGAAGCTTCCAGGACCACAGAGACTGAAAGAATATGTGACCACTAAACCGGCTTTGCAAGAAATATTAATGGGGGTTCTATAAAAGGAGAAAGACCCCAAAAAGTGATACAGAACAGATATACAGATAATCCATAGAAACAAGGGCTTCACAGGCAACATGATGACAATAAAATCTTTTCTGTCAATAATCACTATCAATGTGAACAGCCTAAATGCTCCCATAAAACAGCACAGGCTTGCAGATTGGATAAAGACAGGACTCATCCGTATGCTGTCTGCAAGAGATGCATTTTGAACCTAATGATACATCAAGACTGAAAGTGAGTGGATGGAAAATGATCCTTCATGCCAACAGACCTCAAAGGAAATCCAGGGTAGCAATTCTCATATCCGACAAATTAGATTTTAAGCTAAAGACTCTAGTCAGAGATACAGGACACTATATCATTCTTAAAGGGTCTATCAAACAAGAAGATCTAACAATTGTAAATATCTATGCCCCCAACTTGGGAGGAGCCAACTACATAAGCTAACTGTTAACCAAAATAGAGTCTAGTTGATAACAATACGTTAATTATAGGAGACTTTAACACTCCACTCTCAGAAATAGACAGATCAACTAAGCAGAAAATCAACAAAGAAACAAGAGTTTTGAATAACACACTGTACCAGGTGGACCTCATAGATATATAAAGACTTCCATCCCAAAACAACAGAATACTCATTCTTCTCAAACTCGCATGAAACTCTCTCTAGAATAGAACACATACTGGGTAACAAATCAGGTCTCAACTGATACCAAAAGATTGAGATTATTCCCTGCATATTCTCAGACCACAATGCTGTGAAACAGGAACTCAATCTCAAAAAAAAAAAAAAAAAAAGTATGGAAGAAATTCAAACACTTGGAAACTAAAGACCATCCTGCTCAAGAATGTTTGGGTCAATCAAGAAATCAAAGAAGAACTTAATTCATGGAAACCAATGAGAATGAAGACACATCGATCCAAAACCTATGGGATATGGCAAAGGTGGTCCCAAGGGGGAAATACAGAGCCATCCAAGCCTTACTCAAAAAAATAGAAAAATCCCAAATACACAAAATAAGAAACCTTAAAGAACTGGAGAATCAACAACAAATTAAACCTAACCCATGTATGAGAAGGGAAATAATTAAGATTAGAACAGAGATCAATGAATTAGAAACCAGAAATACAGTAGAACATGTTTACAAAACTAGAAGCTTGTTCTTTGAAAGAATTAATAAGATCAATAAACACTGGCCAGACTTACCCAAAAGAAAAGAGAAAGGGCCCAAATTAATAAAATCATGAGTGAAGGGGGAGAAATCATGACTAACACTAAGGAAATAGAAATAATCATCAGAAATTATTATCAACAACTATATGCCAATAAGTTAAGCAACCTAGAAGAAATGGATGCATTCCTGGAAACCTATAAACTTCCAAGACTGAAACAGGAAGAAATTGACAACCTGAATAGACCAATAACTAGTAACTAGATTGAAGCAGTGATCAAAAACCTCCCAGAAAAACAAGAGTCCAGGTCCTAATGGATTCCCTGGAGAATTCTACCAAACATTCAAAGAAGAAATAATACCTATTCTCCTGAAACTGTTCCAAAAAATAGAAACAGAAGGAAAACTTCCAGACTCTTTTTATGAAGCCAGAATTACCCTGATCCCCAAACCAGGCAAAGACCCCACCCAAAAGGAGAATTTCAGACCAATATCCCTGATGAATATGGATACCAAGATTCTCAACAAGATCCTAGCTATTAGGATTCAACAGTACATTAAAAAGATTATCCACCATGACCAGGTGGGATTTATCCCTGTGATGGAAGGGTGGTTCAACATTCATAAATCAATCAATGTGATAGAACACATAAATAGAAGAGACAAGAACCACATGGTCCTCTCAATTGATGCAGAAAAAGCATTTCACAAAATACAGTATCTTTTCCTGATTAAATCACTTCAGAGGGATAGAGGGAACATTCCTCAACTTCATAAAATCCATCTATGAAAAACCCACCATGAATATCATTCTCATAAGGGAAAAGCTGAGAGACTTCCCACTGAGATCAGGAACAGGACAAGGATGCCCTCTCTCGCTGCTGTTGTTTAACATAGTACCAGAAGTCCTAGCAACAGCAATCAGACACAAAAAGAAACAAAATGTAATCAAATTGTCAAAGAAGAAGTCAAACTCTCTTCACAGGTGACATGATACTCTGTGAAAAACCCAAAGTCTCCACCTCCAATTTACTAAAACTCATACAGCAATTCAGTAATGTGACAGGATACAAAATCAATGCACAGAAGTCAGTTGCTTTCTTTTACGCTAACAATGAAACTGCAGAAGGAGAAATTGGGGAATTGATTCCATTTACAATAGCACCAAAAACCATTAGATACCTTGGAATAAACCTAACCAAAGAGGAAAGGATCTATACTCGGGAACTACAAAACCCTCATTAAAGAAATTGAAGAGGACACAAAAAGTTGGAAAAACATTCCATTCTCATGGATTGGAAGAATAAACAATGTTAAAATGATGATGCTGGCCAGAGTAATCTATACTTTCAAGCCATGATGATCAAAATCCCATCGGCATTTTTCAATATCCTGGAACAAACAATACTAAAATATGTATGGAACCAGAAAAGACCCCAAATCGCCAAGGAAATGTTGAAATAGAAAAACAAAGCTGGGGACATCACGTTGCCTGATTTCAAGCTACATTACAAAGCTGTGATAACCAAGACAGCATGGTATGGGCACAAAAAAAGACACAAAAACCAATGAAACAAAATAGAGATCCCAGATATGGACCTTCAACTCTATGGTCAACTAATCTTTGACAAAGCAGGAAAAAATATTCAATAGAAAAAAAAAGTCCTTTAATTCTTTTACTGATTATATACATTTTTAGAAAAGAGACTACAAGAATTTTTAGAATTAAAATGTTATTTAACAAAACCTTTCTTGTTTTTCAATAATAATTAAAGTACAACTTGAAAACATCAAAAGGATATATTATTGCCAGGCACTGAATGTCTTTTATGTTTGTTATCATTTTTAGTGTGATAATGTAATTTTAACTTTCTGAAAGCTATTTTTATGGTAATTACATATATAGAAACTCAAACATGAAAAAAATTGAGTAATATAGCCACCACCCAAAGGGGTAAGTAGTATAGGAAGGTGCCTATTTTCATAGGTCATAACTAATATTCACAATATCTTTTTAAGGACCTGATAAATTTTCAAAACACAATGTTAACTAAATGGGTTAAGTGATAAAGGACAGGTGTTTAATAGTTTTTGGCAATTAAAAATATTCTTATAGATTACTTAAAGACTTGCAGCATTGCTTACAATAAGTTAACCACATAAGGAGAATTAAAAAACAGATATGCAAATATCAGTTAAAATGTATATTTATATATTAAATTGCAAGTATTCCTATTTCTGTTTATAAATATGTACATGGGTCCTTGGGTGGTGTAGTCAGTAAAGGGTTGGATCTTGCTTTTGGTTCAGATCATGAACTGGGGATCCTGGGATCAAGCCCCACTTCCAGTTATGAGCTCAATAGGCAGTCGGCTTGGAATTCTCTTTCTTCAACCTTTGTCAGCTCCATGCATTGTCTCTCTGTCTCTCTCTCAAATAAATTAATAAAACTTTAAAAATTATAAATATGTAGAGAAAAATCAAAGTAAAAGTAAATGATGAGTGCCTTGTGCTGTCATTTTTACAGTTCATTTTTCTCAAACTGCCTTTAAGGAAGTACATTTCTTGTATGTGCTATTATGTACCAGCTCTGTGTTTTTGCCTCAGTCACTTCTCTTTGTCACTATCCTCATTTGGGAAATGGAAATTAATCATGGCAGCTCTCTCATGAGGCTGCAGAGAGTAATAAATAAAATAATGCAAGAAAACATTTAGAACACTGCTTGACACAAGTCCACAACAGACATCAGAATAATATTAATTGTAAAGCTCATCCTTACTTATGTGACATAACATTCCTTTGCAAATGATCCTGCCTATGACATCATGCTCACAAGACTTTTGCAAGCCCCAGCGCAAGTAGAAGCTGGTTTCCAGAGACTGCTCTGACCCGTGTATCCCCAGCAATTGTAGCCTAGTCCCTTCTTGGAGGCACCCAGATGATAAATGAAATTGCATTTCTCTGAGTCCTAATCTGCCTGGTGACATCTCAGTTAATTTTAAAAATGCTTATGCACAACTCACATTCAACAACATCTATGAGATAGTTCACTGCCTGTTGTTCTGTTGTGCTGTGTTAAAGAGAGTTAAGGTCAGATTTCCCATCCCAGTCCCAGATCAACAGCAAGTCAGAGACAGACAGACATAGGGGCTGAGCACAGCAGGCACATCCTCAAGTTTCTGAGCAATGTTTCTGCAGTATGGGATCCCGGGGGGATGGCTGATGGGTGTGAGAATCATCCTGTCCTACCCCAGACAGACACATTCATACTAGAAATTTCCTAGCAGATACGGAACACTCTCACCCCATCTGCCCAGCAATGATGGGACACAGGAAGCCCCAGACTGCTCAGATCTGTGGCTGATCATGAACAACGTCAGGGAACTATCTAAGCCACCACTTTTTCTGAGAAACCCAAACGAACCCCGCCCTCCTGCCACTGACATGTCAAGTCCTGCCAACAGGGACCTCACTTCTTACCTTGTCACTAGGGAGCCAGCCAGGCGAACAGGATGCCACTTCTGGAAGCAGTCATCTTCTCCTGTCCCTGGGCCTGGGAGTTGTCCCCCAGGCACTTCAGTCTACAGGAGAGATTCAAGAAATTCTTTATTGTTGCCTTTTTCTGTATCATTTGTTCATGGGAATTTCTCTTCTTTGCTTTGCAGTTGGCCTCGGGCAGCTGAAGTTGGAGCAACCTGAAATATCAATTTCCAGAGCAAGATATAAGAGTGCCCACATATTATGCAAGGTGTCCACTAAGGACTTTACCAATGCAGTCATACACTGGTACCGGCAGAAACCACATCAAGAGATAGAACATCTAACATATGTCTTGTCAAGCTATACTCAAGTTTCTTTAGGTGGGAAGAAAAACAAACTTGAAGCAACTAAAAATGCTATTACTTCTACTTCAACCTTGAAGGTAAATTTCTTAGAGCAAGAAGATGAGGCCATGTACTACTGTGCCTGCTGGTTTGGATCCACAGCATCAGGGTTGTTACGAAAAGCTACACAAGAACCATCTTCAGGTCTGACCTACCCACATCCTTTTCAATATGGCAACCACAGAGGTTGCACAGCTGGGTGCCCAGCCTGAGTTTCTCTCTCTGCTGTATTTCCTGAACTCTGCAGGAAGACATTTTAGATTCTACTCATACAATGAGCTCCACATGATATCAGCAGCACTGGTACAAACATACACATTTTAATGCTATTTCCCATGAAATTCTGTTGTCTGGGAACTCTGAAAATACAGGATTGGTGGTTCAGAGAAAAATCCATTTATCTGTTAATTCACCATAGAGAAAGAGATTTTGAGTATTTGAATGGTTCAGAATGAATCCAGGAAGAGGTATACATTTTACATAAATATTTCCTGTTATTACTACTTTCTGATTTTATTCATTTATTACAGTTCTTCAGAGGTGCAATGATCTGTTGAATGTAAATATTGCCTTCTATTTGTATCTGAGGCCATCCTGAAGGGATCTGACCATTAATTCCTGAAGTAAACAGTCAGGTATTTGTTGGTATAGGAGAGACCAAGGTTTAAACCCTGTATTCTAGAGGTAGAAGCAGAAACTCACTCCGCATTTAGGGATCCATTCTGGGAGAAAACCAGCACATTGAGTGTCTCCAACATGGTGGATATGCCTCTGACTTTGTTCTCTAGGGTTCTACAAAGAAAACTAAAGATCTAAGGACCAAATGGTTAAAGAGAAAGATAATACACCCTGCATACATCTCTAAAGAAAAAAAAAGGCACTGTCCCTCACAAACCAATAAAACAAAAAATCATTATTGAGAATTGAGTTCTGTGATTAGTAACTGGATGGTTGTGAGTTTATAAGAAACAGGGAAACATGCAGTGTAAAAATTCCACTACCTTTCTTGCTTCAGCAGCACATATACTAAAATTGGAATGATACAGAGAAGATTAGCATGGCCCCTGTGCAAGGATAGCATGTGAATTCATGAAGTGTTCCATATTTTTCTAAAAAATATATAATAATTCCACTCCCGCATCTTTAGAATCCACTTTCAAAGGATGAGGAAAAACCTTTATTTCGCAAACCTTGTACCTTTGGTAACATGGATATCTGATTACATAATTACCATGCCTGCATTTAATACTTGGTTCCCGAGATCATGACAACATAGTCATTCTTCTTCTCTTTCTAAGAATCAGGTGGTGCTACCAAGTACAGAGGTGCTATAGAAGCAGAATGAAGTCCTCCCACAGCAGTGTCATCCCCTTCTCAGAGGCAAACACATGATCTGATGTCCTACACCCTGTCCATTATGACTCCTATTTGTGGTGGATCCCGGGAGGAGAACACTGAATGAACGGTTTCAACATCGCCTTACCTTTCACCTAATAAGTCTACAGAAGCAAAGGTAAGAAGACCACTTCTTCTTGTGATGTGAATGAAAGATGTGAATGAAAAGAGGGAATAAGGGGCGCTGGGTGGCTCAATCATTAAGCATCTGCCTTTGGCTCAGGTCATAATCCCAGGGTCCTGGGATCGAGCCTCACATCAGGCTCCCTGCTCAGGAGGAAGCCTGATGCTCCCTCTCTCACTCCTGTTTGTGTTCCCTCTTTCACTGTGTCTCTTTCTGTGAAAATAAATAAATAAAATCTTTTAAAAAAAAAAAGAAGCACTGATACGCTTCTCACAGTATCAGTGCTAAATACAGATTATTTCATTTAATCCTAAAAAGAACAGTGCAGACCTTGATTAACATGGTCACATGGCAGTGAATCTCAGGAGATGGAACCACCCTTACAAAACAACCATGACACACTACAGTGTGAGCAGTAGGGCATAGGGTACCTCATCTATGAGGCTTTGAAGTGAGAGGATACTATATAGCTCTTAAAAACATGCTTTTTGAAGAATTATAAGTAAAATTTACAACTTTACTGAAGGTCAAACCAATTCTCCCCTCACGCGGACCATGGCAGGCATTACTAAGGTGTGCATATTAACCTCCAAAGGCACCCAGAGCATGGAGCCTCAAGAGAGGATCTGATCAAGATGGAGGGCCAAAGGTAGAGTCAGTATTTTCAGCACCCCTGCCATCAATATTTTTGGGTTTTTACATTTAATAAAGATTGTTTGTATAATAATTTAAAATGTAACTATATAAAAATAATAAAACAAAACTGTCTATATGACATTTCAAATGGTTATATATTTATATTTTCCATTCTATGGTATTACTGCTTACACCCCCAGAAAAAAGAATAACTAGAAAACTATGATTAAATACAATGACAAGAGTGGTTACCATGGAATAAGAGGGCCACAAACTATGCCCAAGTCCAGCAAACCCCCAGTTTAGTAAATAAAGTTTTACTGAAACACAGCCTGGACCATATGCTTACAAATTATAGAAAGCTGCCCTTGCATTACAATGGCAGAGCCCAATATTTGCAACAGAGACCCACAAACCTTAAACTATTGATCATTTCGCCCTCTACAGAAGATATTTGTCAATCATCTCCCTAGAATGATATACTATGGAGTGACATTTATTTTTATTTTATCTTTCCTTCTGTTTCAGGGTTTCCTCAATGACCCTTTGTTACATATCCACTCTCCCCATATTAACTATCTCACTCTGGATAAATTTCTTGCCATATCTTTGATTCATTTTCCTCATTTGGAAATGGAAAACATAAACATATTTACCTGGAGGAACCACTGAGAGAAGTAACTTAGAGAATACATATAAAGTTCTTCCACATGCTTGGAGCAGGCCTAATGTTCATTATATTGAGGCACTAAATTTCTTATATGGGTTATTATGGCATATTTGACCATAATATAACAAAATATAAAACCAAAACCAAAACTTATTATTTTCTCTACTTCTTAATTTTAAATAATAGAATAAGTGAAAATAGAAAACTTTTCCTCTCAGATTTTCTAACAGAAAACCTGCTGCTGACATTCCTGGAATACAACCATGCCTATTCATTTCCTAACTGTCTGTGATGGCTTTTGTGCTACCGTGGCTGAGGTGATGAATTAGAAGAGAGACCTTAGGGCCAAGCAGCCCAAGTAAAGCATTTGTTATCTGACTCTGAACTGAAAAATGTTGGCACCTCCTTCCATGTGAAAAAAAAAAAAAGAGTAAAGAAATGAGTTTTTAACTACAATTAAAATTCAAGAAACAATAAGAAAATATTTTGATAAATTTTACTCTGAAAATGAAAACAAAGCTTGCATGGCAAAAAGCAGCTGAAAATAAATTTAAAAAATTTTTTAAAAATGGGCAAAAGACTTAACAGATACTTAACAAAACAGATGGCAGATAAGCACATGAAGAATTGTTCTGCATCATTAGCCATTAGGGAAATTCAAATTAAAAGCACGACAAGATAACACTGTACAGTTGCTAAAATGATTAAAATTAAAAATACTGACAAAAAAGCAGTATAAGTTAAATCAAAAGACAAATAACAACCCATGAGGAAATACTTTCAAGTTGTACAGCACATGATGATCAACTATCCTCAAAATAAAAATACGTTTTAAAAATGGAAGGAAAATAGCAAAAGACATGAAAATCCAATTCAGAAGAGAAATATAAAAATAGTTCTTGAATATATTCATGTTCAACTTCACCTTTAATAAGGTAAATATCAATTAAAATGACATTGAGATACCATTTCTCATTCATGAGACTGAATAAAAGCAATACACTCTGTTGGGGAAGCTGTGGGAGACACTCTGACACATTGCTGGAAGGATGCAAAATACAACCCTTTCATGGAGGAATTTGGAAATATCTAACAAAATTTCACATGCATTTAACTTTAACCTAGCAAAAACACTTTTAGAAATTTACTCTGAAAGTACAGTTTCAACACTATAAACATATATATATATATATATATATATATATATATATGCACAAAAGTATTCATTGGGTAACTGCAAAATGTTAGAAATGATATAAATATCGAAATATAGTGAGTTTAGTTGGATAAATGATGGCACATACACCTAGTAGAGGAGTATACACTGCTAAATAGAATGTGAGATGTAAAATCCATTGTAATACATTTTTCTGGCGAATCACAATTGGAAGGTAAAATTTAAAAAATATTATCATTTACAATAGTCACACTAACAATATGAAGAGAACCTCTATAATATGTAGAGGTTAAATTTAACCAAAAATGGGAAGGATTTGTATGCTAAAATCAATAAAACTTTACTGACAGAAGTAGAAGAAGAAGTAAATAAATCTAGAGATATACCATGTTCACAGATTGGAAGGCTCAATACTGATAAATACGTTCAATGTAATCCCTACTAAAATCCAGGAGAACCTCTCATACAAATTAATAAACTGATTGCAATATTTATATGGGAAGATGAAGAATAGTGCATTGCAAAATAGTTTTGAAAATAATTTAAGCACTTACTATGAACCTACAGTGGTCAAGACAGTGGGGTATTGGTGAAAACATAGATACATAGATAAGAGGGAGAGAATCCAGAAATAAGGCAACACATAAGTGGTTAACTAATTTCTAACAAAGATGCCAGGGAAATCCATTGGACAAAGAATGGACTTCTCTACAACTGGTTATGAAACAACTTTTCATCTATGTAAAAAAAATAATAAACCACAATCCATATCAAATATCACATACACTAACTAAAAACAGATTCTAGGACAAAATGTAAACACTAAAGCAATAACACTTCTAGATATTGTTGTGAACACATTGTGAAAATATGTCACAAAAATATTTGTGACCTTGGGTTACCCAAAGGTTTCTCATATAGAACACAAAAAGTGAGAATCATAAAAGAAATGTTTGACAACTTGCACTTCCTCAAAATTAACATTTCTGTTTTTCTCATGACTGAGAAGTGAAAAGTCAGGGAGGGAATCAGGAATGTCTCCCTCCCTGACTTTTCACCCAAATGGATGGAAAATAAAAAGTGAATCATGTAAATCAAATC